AATTCTACTGGAAAAAAAAACTGTCTGCGTTGTATAATTTTTACGATTGGATGAACGTGTAGGTCGGAGTAGACACTCAAGATGCATACTGAATGTTGGTGAGGAAGCCTCTGTAAAAGCTGACTCTTGAAAGACCGAGGACATGAGAGAATAATATTAGTATAGATCGTAGGGAAATTTGTTATGCATGCGAGTAGCTTATGGAAGTAGCTTTACCTGGAAGTCCCACCCACTCGATCTTGTTCCCCAGAACAGGTTTTCCGAGGTCACTAACTTTTCGCCGAAAAATATATTAGCCGGTCGCTGAAAACTCGAGGGTGCGTTTCCTCTGATGATCTCATAGGCGAGTTCTCCAGAGATCACCACCAGGCGAACGTTTGCCGCCCGCACTGCATTACAAGGCGAGTGTGTTTATAGAGTCGTTGCGAGTTTTTACAAAACGCGAAGAAAAACAGTGAAATTTTTGTATGAACGTTTCGCTGGCCAGCCAGTATCAAGTCTTCACTCTAATAAACGGAAACTGGCAAAGACGGAAACGAGAAAAGAAACAGTTTTACGGAAATGGCGTGCTTGAATATTTGGTGTTTTCTGTTCCCGTGATATTGTTCGTGGAATTTCTGTAACAAGGACTATTCTAGTCAGAAATGGGATGAAAATAATAACAAGGATTAAAACTGATGCCGGCAAAGTGTGTGGAAAATGTCTCATTTGTAGGGGATAATGGGTACATGGCGGTCACTTAAGAGAATAGCTGGATAAAACGGAAAGTATACGCAAAGTTGAAACTTTATATAAACTGGCATTTAGTCTGAAGGCTCTACTTCTTAAGTATGCAGTATAAAATGCGTTGAACGTAACAAAAATTCTATAGGAAATGATAACTGAAGACGTATTCCCCACCCTTAGGGGTAATGACGGTCACCATTTGAGCTTCAAGATGACACTGAAGTAAATAAGATGAGTGAATGAAATGTGTTCTTATTAAGTAATAGACATTTTTCTGTGCTTACACGATTCGTACACGTCTAAATCATTTGAACGTACAAATTCTAACAGAATGTTAAGATAAAAGTCCTCAAATAATCTTAAGTGTGTTAGATCAGTTGTATTCAACCTGGGGTACGCGTACTCCCGGGGGTACGCGAAGACATCTTAGGGGATACGTGAATTTTTTTTTTTAAAAAATATTATTTTATGTTAAACACTGAATAATCAGTATTGTAATGTATTTAATTAATATTAGATGTAGATTATATACTATATATAACTTGAATTATACACCAACAACTTTGGGGGTACAAAGTTGAAGAGAAATTATATCTGGGGGTACGCGAACAAAAAAGGTTGAATACCACTGTGTTAGATCACTGGAGCACAAAACAGTCACATGCGACATCTCGGTAACTGTACTAGAAGCAAATTGCCGAATTCGCTCCTGCAGTTCACTGAATGAAGCACTAGATGGCAGCACCAGCTTGAAGCGTCTATCTGATAGTGCCTGACCGGCATTATCCCTTTTTCCCCTATTAGCAGAAATATAAGAAAGACCTGTGACACTTGAAGCGTGGTTTTGAATATTCCACGAAACAAAGGATTTACATAGGTCACGTATTCTTTATGAGATACTGAAATCGTGGAGGATGTTACGTCATTAAAATGGCGCTGGGATGTGAGAAACAGTAACTATCTACAGGGGTTTAATCGGAAAACCTTTGGGAAATTAACCAGTTCAAGGCCGAGTGAAATACGGGGAAATTAATGTGGACTGTGGCGGGTTGCGTCCAAGCTTCAGGTTTGGAAGAACTGAGTGTCTGTAATGTTCACCGTCGATCGTTTCCAGAAGCATTGGCGACATGCATACCTGTACTTACTTGTTTGTTACTGGTAACAATTTACCACTCTCATCTTCAAGGACGAACTCTTCCTTAAAAGCAACTTGGTACGTGGTTGTGGTAGCTGGCTGGCTATGTTACGTGATTCTGTGCACATGCTTTCAAGAGTAGTCTCGGAATAATCGTGGTCTGCAGCCCCTCCCCCCTCCCTCCCCATCCTTCGCTGGGTTATTGTCCAATCGAGCAGAATTTTATTGGGTAGTTATTGCATAAATCATTTGAAATTGCAATGCCATTTGCAGCGCTCGGTCGTTGTTTTGTGTGGGTCGCCCCGAAATTGCTTTCCGTGGGTTTATGTGTTTACACGTGTTGCGAAATATTGGATTTAGTGTAATGCATCGCTAAGCTAATTGTTCCTGTGTGACGTGAATGTACTGTTAAGTTCAAATTACAGGAATCAAACGCTGACGAAGGCTGCCTCGCGATTTTTGTACAGATTTAACTCGGAATTCGATACACATGACATCTGCCCGTATTAATTGTCTGCTTTGCTATGCATTATTTGCACGAAATGAGCGCATTTAGGGCTCATCATGTTTTTATATCAGCATGATTCATGTTGACAACCGCAGAATGAATTCTGATGAAATTTGGTGCTGACAGTACGCCACTGGAGACTCCGCTAAACTCGTACATTTTAATTTTTGTAGAACAGGTTTTTCAAACGTGGCGGATTTTCGAGATAGTTCTACTTAAGTTTATTGTAAAAAAATAACAAACATGGCCGCTACACGAAACATTAAAAAAAGATGTTGTCCCTCTCAGGATTCGATCACATGACTTACCAACGCATGAGTCCACTGCTAACTCGTACTGTTTGTTATATGTTCTTTGGTACTGATTCTCGTGTTTCTTAAGGAAGACATTAAGAACGCGTGATTTTAGAGTCAGAAATTAAACCTGTTTAAGTAAGTTAACTGTCGTTGTCGACAGGTTGAGAGACATTTCAACACGTAACATAGTCTGTACATTGACTTTATTGATCAATCTATAATGCAAAGTCAGTGCCCTCTATTTTCAACTGTGCTGCCATCTCACTTTCTGGTAAACAACTGAAGGTAAAAGTACGTAAGAGACATCTGTTGATGAGAAATTGTTACTTTTGTACGTCACCTCTAATGTATTCTTCCGCTTATGGTGAAACTTGAAGTGACGTATTGTTTCTATTATTACGAGTTCTTTGCTTAGCGAGAAAGCATTATGTACTCGTCGTGTCTGTCTGTCCGTCTGTCCAGTCGATTCAATTCGAGAACCGCTGGACGGATTGGGGTAATGTTTGTGTAAGGAGGTTGTGCAATTCTCTACGACCTCAAAATTGTCCTTTTGGACATCCAACGGGCGGTGGAAAGTAGTGAGGTGCTGCGATCTGGCGGCTGTAGTTGGAATTTGGTTTCACCGCTTATGCGTTTTTCGAATGTTTGTATTGGTTAATATGGTGATCGTTGGTGTAAGAGAGAATAACCGAAACAGATTGTCGCGAAAAAGGAAAGTAGGTCTCGCAAACGTTGGAGTGACGGCCGAAAAGGGCTTCGAGACCTCTTGAAATGGAAGTGTAGGAAAATGAAATGAACACCGCTTTACTCTTACAGTACAGGGAGTACGTACCAGAGCAGTGATAAATCATTTTATTCTGTGTTCTTTTTTTTTTAAATTTTTGTTGTAATTACTCGTTATTTGTGATAACCGAATAAGGTGAATCAATAATCGACCGTCTGCATGTTTGAACCTTGAAAGTGCTGAAGAAATATTTATTCAGTTTCGTGTTTGAGTTTACATCAACACGTCAGGTTCATTTGTTTCGTATTGATCCATTATAAATAATTTTTTTTTTAAAAAAAGGTAAATTTGAACGCTTTATTTCCCCGTAAGGTCTGTAACATAAAACAAATCTCACGCTACTTAAATAAATTTAATTTATTTAAATTTAAACGTTTTTCGATTTGGTATTCGCGTAACTAAATTCAAAGTCAATAATAATTCCACTGTTCTGTTGGCGGTATCATCGATGGACATGTTACTCGGCATAGGTTAGGTGTGCTTTGAGCAGGCCGATTGGACCCGAGGCATAATACAATGCGCGGACAGGATGAAAGCAGTTAATTAATTAGTGCCTCGCAGAAAAAGAACTTGAACTCGCCGTCCGTAAACGTGTATAGTTGGTCATGCCGAGAGACTGTTCAAGCGCACACACACACCCCATGCTATTTCGGGAAAGACTGTAATATGGAGAAAGTTAATTGTATCTTAATCTTAGTTACGTAACGTTAGACAACAAACAGAAGATAACAGATGATATCCGGTTACGAAACGCCGCGGCCGGATCGTAAATTGTTTTGTTGGCAGTAAAAATACTCCCATTTAGTTCTGTGTACGTTGATAGATGGTGTTAGTGTTGGACGCAATATCGTGTGAATGTGGCAGCACTGAAGGTATTTTGTTACTACAAAGATGTCGGATGCCAAGTTTTTGTGAGGCGATCTGAAAGGAACACGAAATTTTTCTCGTTTGCCTTTGTGTGGTTTATATGCTGAAACTTTTTTTTTTTATAAATTTGCACAATGTTTATTAGGCTTTTATATTAACAGTTGCGAAACGTTGTTGATTATATTATTAAGGCTTTGACCGGGATGTTCTTTTGTTAAATCTTATGTGGTACCGCCTGATTCGACTTCTAATGGTTAAGTGAAGTGTTTTCTTCGCGGTACGGTCTGGATTCGTAAATATTATGAAGACGAGATTCGGCTTCAAAGGGTTAACCAGCTGATTTTCGTAATGGTGAGGTGTAGTGTTTTCTTCGCGGTACGGACTGAATTCATAAATAATATTCAGACGATCTTCGGCTTCAAAGGGTTGTCATCAGATACACATACATTCACCAGAATAAAGGTGTGTTGTACACGATTTGTAGGTACGTTTATAATCTGATTACGAAAGTCATGGATACATAAGTGCCGTATTTTTAAATTGCCTACCCGGAGCATCGAGAGACGTTCTCATTTTCTGCGTTACTGATCTTAAGTTCAGATATTTTCCTTATGTCTCTCTGTCTGTGAGAAGGCGAAAGTATTTGCCACGAGTTAACTCGGTGCCTTTGCTTTGCGTGTGCAGGACCGTGACTCCAGCCTGTCATCCTCTGCCGCCAGCTCCGACAACAACACGCCGTGCAACATCAGTCTTCTGGAAAGGCTGATCCGAAGTCACCCCGTGTGGTTCCTCCCCGGCATCCAGCGTGCAGGGGCTGTTCATCTCCTGCAGGGGAAGGAGGAGGGTGTATGTGTTTGATAATGGATTTATCTTATCTGAAGTAATGTTATTTTTAATAGTATCAAGTTAACTCCCCGTCGAACAATTTAAATTAACTAACGCACCGATTAATACAGCGCGGGGACACGATCTACGAACGGAAAAAACCGATTATGTTGTTCGGAATATTTCGTAAGTCGTCGGCAGATAATCGGCTTTTGAAGGAACACGTTTCTATTGCGCGTGAGTTCTTTAGCACAGAAGACCTCAGATGTTTAAAGTAAAATGTTGACGTGTTTTACCAGTTTTTGTTAGTAAATTTTCTACATTTTCTAATTAATTGTATCTTATATTGGACATTGTTCATTGATAAATGCAGTATTTCAGGAGTTGACAGGGCTACCAACTTGAGGAAATTTCTTACCTTGTATGGAATTGAACCTGGGACAATGGGAGTGGAGAGGGAAAGCAGGAATAGTTGTTGTTGTTGTAGTAACTGCACGGAGCAAAGCCTTTTTCAAATAGCCAGTCAATATTTTCTTTAATTTCGTGAAACCAAATTTTCATTTTGTGTCCACGAGAATCCACCACTGACACTGCCATGAACTTTCGTTGATCTGGTCTCCACCCTTCTACCCTATTTTTAAATCCATTTTAATATTATCCTCGCATCTATTCACGTTTTCTCTCCCATTCATGCTGTATGCTGTGCCCATCTCATCCTCCTCTACATGTTCATCCTAATAATACGTACTTTTTTTTTTTTGAGAGTAACAGTTTTGAACGTCTTTATTTTGTGGTTTTCCTCAGTCTCCTGGTGTTTGCTTTCTTGGCATATTAAACTGAATTAATGACGTCTTACGCTCTCCTCGTGGTCTGTGTTCTGGACAGTGATTTCGTAACACTTTCCTTCGTATTCAGCCTTTTCCTTTTCTGTCGTCACAGAACTTCGTGGTTCGTCAGTCGAGTCAGCCGGACACGATGGCCATCTCAGTGCGTCTGCCCGCGGACAAGGGTCCGTACATTGAACACTACCTCATCCAGGCAGCCGATGGACAGCTGAGTCTCGAGAGCTCCGACAACTGTTTCAGTAACATTCCGTCTCTCATCGCCCATTACTCTCAGTGCTGGTGGGTACCGCGTGTCACAAGGGACCTTGTTTTGTTTTTTTTATTTTTAGAGATTTGTAATTTGACCTCTTGTTTATTGGACCTCGTGGGGTTACGAGATTCTGTCAATGTTTGCGTGTAAGAATTTTGCAGACTTTTTGAATCTTACGAGTCCTGTACTTCCTGTGAAATAAGCTCTTATCATTCGCTGAGTTTTATTTATTATTTAATAAATTATTTCTACGAATTTATAACTTGTGTTGGGCAAGGCCGTGGTCTAGGCAACACGGAGTTTTCCTCCGGGGGCTTCCCCGGTTTCTCCGTGGCATCCCAACAATTACACAGAAGAAGGCAATGGCAAACCACTTCTGGATCATCTGCCAAGAACGTATATGAACAGGTCCCAGTCCGAGAAAAGGATGGAAGGATCCTGTTCATATGGACCTGTCGTCAGAATTAAAAAAAATTTTAGCTATCGTGATCAACACACTTCATGACCTATTTAAAGTTGTCTATCTGACTGATATTCCCTGGGCATTCGCCTTCAGAAAAAGCCGTCGTGTTTCGTGCATCGGGTGGTTTCTTCAGAACAGAAAGAAGCCTGTAGTTGACTGTGACGGAACCATCAACAAATTTTCTGTGACACAGGAATATCTTTGCTGTATGACTGCACTGACATGTTTTCCTTTCGTAAATTCTTTGGCGCCATCTATCATATTCTGTGTCGTAAATATTTACTGAAAATTTTCCTTTCTGCTTGATTTCTCAACGAGTTTTCGATAACGTCTTGAGTTCATAAACTCTATTTTACACTCCATCGTAAAACCTGTTTATCCTCGTAACATTATGAAGTTGTTTTACGTGGCTGATCGTGATGTTGTTCCTCAGCGATGAACTTCCAGTGCAGCTGACGTTACCACGGGCGATGCGCGAGGCCAAGAACCATCAGCAGCTGTCATCCCTTGCTCTTCTTGGTCAAGGTCAGGTTTTTTTTTTTTTGGAAACATCTCCTCAAAGACTTCTTCTAAAATGAAAAACGATTATTAGGAAATTTTCATATTTTTTTGTGGATGTCTTATATATTTTTTACTGTTTAAAATATTTTCCAGATTGCACGTTCATACACCAGCAACGATCAGAGTCAGGCTTCAACTTCTATATTATGTTCTTCCTGTTAAACAGAGTTTTGGAGGTATCCGATGGCGAACCCGCGACTCCCTGAGCAGCGAACCCGGCAACAGTCCGAGACTTCAAGTTTACAGCAGAGAATAACTGTCGGGGAAGGCCTCCAGAGCCCACCCAGTAGTGGCAGTAGTCTTAGCAGCCTCGGTAGTGGTAAGTCTCTTTGATTCCTTGAAGATTTTGTAAGAATTCATTGCGCTGATGGAGAACGCAGTTTACGTAACAATAAATGAGATCGTATGTATATTTACACCTCACTCTGAAATTTGGTATATTTTCCAGACAGTTCGCATTGTTTCGATTCCACAAAAATGTTATGTCGTGGCGCTGACCACTGACTCGAGATGTCGTTCCTAGATCAAAGAAAATCTCTACTTATCTGTCATATTTAAATTAGACTTATGCAAAAGTAAGTCGCTTTAAAATGTTTTTTTTTTTATTTATTCAAGGAAACAACAACCACAACAACGGCAGCGATGCGGCGGAGAGGACGCCGACCTCAGAGCCGGGGAGCGGTTCGAACGTTGGAGACGCCATCGTTCTAAACCTGGCACCGCTCTGTTCAGTCGAACACTCGCAGCAGCCCCAGAGCCTAATGAGCACGTTCAAAGGCGGTGGCCCGAGCTACAATTGTGACGTTCTAGGTACGTCATCTCCGTCATTGCTCTTTATGCCACTCTTCAGTGTTTCTTTGCTGATCTGTCTACAATTTTGGATTTCATGATTTGTTGGTTAAGAAGAATCTTGCGAGTCGTCGTCTAGATACGGAGTTGCATTAAACGGATATTACGGCTGTCTGACAAGTGTCCCGTAGAGGAACACTGTAGTTCTGGACGCTACGTAGGCAAGTTTGCCACTAAGTTGCGTACTTGGTAATCTCCAAATCTTTTTCTTATCTCTGCAGATAGGAGGCACTAGTAGTCGTTTCCAGACTGTCGTCTTCATTTGTTTTACCGTGCCGAAATCGTCTTGCAGGTGCCCCAAATTCTCCAGTTGGCGGCAGCGCGGTGACAGGAGTGGGCGAAACTGTGGTGATGACGACTGCCAGTCCAACGTCTGGCATCACGGCCGTGGCCCTCGTCAGAGGACCGAGACCCACTCCTCCGAACACACTTAACCTCTTGTGTTCTGCTTCAACTCATTCCAGTTCAGGTTTGCAGTCATGACGCACACTTTTCAATATAATAGGGAGAATGAACTCGTCAGGCACTGCAGAAGTCTCTTATTTCAGGTAAAGTGACTTAAGTCCCTGATTTACCTTGTTCACAGGAGCCTGCCAGTGGTCCTCATTCTGAGCGAGATGAATGTGGTCACGTAATTGAGAGTAGGTTTCTTTTAAGATCAGCTTCAGCTTCTTAGGTCACGTTCCGTTCCCTCCAGGTTTTGCCTTTCCTCATCTTTCTCACACGTCATCCGTCGCTCCCTTCTCGTGCCACTTTCTGAGGCTTTTGGTTTTGTTTCGGACACGAGATTTAAAAAAAAAATCATAAAGCCTGGAATTAACGTAAAGTGAGACGCAGTCGTACTATTTCCTGTATTTTTTTTTTGACTGTCAGGTATGGAATATCGGAAAAGTAACTCTTTTTTACTTTGTGTAAGAGTGGTTTGGGAAAAGACGTAATGTCGACCGTTTGCTGTCGGTGAAAACGGAAGGTTTTCTTGTGATCGGTCATTATTATTACTGAATCATTGAATAATTTTTGGCAGACGCTGTTATCTCGCCACTGATGTCGGGACTCGTTCTTCTTTCAGGCGTGCGGTCGGCCTCCAACAGTCCTGCCCAGTTAGTGTCGCCCCCCTCTACCAACGGAGACGGCTCGCGTGCAGGGCCTCTGGTTGTGTCGGGGGGGGGGGGGGAAAAACCCCCCCCCCCCCCAACTGATTGACAGAAACTAACCCACGTCTCTGTCCTCGGCAGCTGTTTCTGGTCAGAACTTCACTGTGACGACTACCGTCACCTTCAGCGTGAACCACAACACAACGCCACCCCCACATGTGGAGGTTTCCTGTGTGCAGGTACGAGGGCAGAGTAACGTAGAGAAAATTCATGATTTCTGTTTTAGGATCCGGAGTGAATTTTGGTGCACGGCGTAGGAACTTGAATCACGCGATTTTCAGCTGAGCTGAAAAATATAGGCGTTTTACTGTTGATGGGCTGGACATGTAGCGCTGACAGAGAAAATGCTAATATACAGTGTAAGACTGTAATCTTGAGACTTCCGGGGTGGAGGGGGAAAGACAGCGTCTGCCTTTGACGCTTCTGACCTCCTGCATTCCTTGCAAGTCTTAAGATTACAGTCGCGGACTATAATTTTGCTTGAGAGACCTCATAAACTGTTGCTACCCGTAAGTTCGAAATGTAGTGGTGCTGATAGAATTTTCCTGACCGACGACGACGACGACGATACCAGAATTCATAAGTGTTTTGTGGTTGCAGGTAACCCCAAAGAGACCTCAGGTGGAGTCAGATGGTCTGCAGACGATATCATCGCACTGCAGCAGCACCAGCACGTCGGAGCAGCATGGCGTGCATCTTCATCAGGTGATGTCCCCCACGACTCCTGGTGACGTCGGTAAGTTGCCCGGAAATGGACGGGGAAGGAAACATCGTCCTACCCACAGCAGACAGAGCTGCATTAAGGAATCTCATCATTACCAAGAGTCTGACATCTTAGAATCGCCCACTACTTATTATCGCAGCTCCATCGCCGACAAGGTCTCGGACTACGAGGATATTTGGGGTCCAGAGATGCTATCAACGTTCAAACCGCCGCACATGATGCCGCATTCATCTCCTTTTTCTTCTCCTGAAGACATCAGCTCCAGTAGTGGTGGAAACAAGAAAACGCCGGATATCTTGCCACGAATTGGCACTCCTGTTTCAGGCAGCTGTATTTCTCTTAATTCAGTCAACAGCAATTTAAAAGACGTACAACAGAGAAATAGGTTTGGCCTTGTTATAAGCGCTGGCAGTGGTGGCAACTCTGCCACAAACTCCCCCATGTCCCCTCTGGGTTCAGAACCGAAACAGTCGCAACCTGAAGAACCTGGGACCGCGACTCAAAGCGGCACGAAGCAAGGAAGTCCGTTCTACGCGGAGCCGGCGGACGCTCTGAGGCAGGCGGCCCCGGTACCTCGGAGGCGACCGCGGCCGGGCGGACAGCAGTCGTTCCGGCACCAGCCGCGAAATCATCGGCATTCGGACCCCGCCTCGTTCCAGCAGTGGCCGGCCCTACCGCATCACGCGGGTCAACTAGAAAGAATAGACTCTAATGACGAGCTCACAGCGACGCCGCTGTCTTCGTCAGTCGACAACCTCGCGCTGCTGAAAAACTCTCGAAATGGGGGCGCCAACCAGCAGAATGCGAACAGACCTCGGGGAAAACCAGTTCAGCCTCCGAGAGTCAGACCTAAAAATGTAAGAGGAAAATGTTTCAATGATACGTCATGGGCTGTGGATTCCAGTTGGGAATTTATAGGTAAGCTTACGTTTTCAACCGAACTGCCTCTTATGATCTCTAGAGCGACGTAGGGATGGACGCAGTATATCGATTTGTCAATTTATCAATTTTGTGCAATTAATTTCAGTAATCTCCATTGCTTTCCGCTTAAAAAATGTTTGTTTCCTTCCTGATTATGTATCACCGTAGGAATTATTTATTTATATCCCATTAAAAATGTTTCTGACATGGGAAGGTGCCCCATACAAGACGAGAGATTTTAAAGGCGTTGAAAATTGCAGAAACTTGCTTTTATTTGTGTTGCAGCCCCTCTCTTACGCTGTCGTGGCAAAATATAGTTGCGTACTCCGAGAGTGTTACAAATTCATTGTTCCCTTTTATCTTGTTCCATGTAAGCTACACTAAAAAATGCGTTAAAGTTTGTTGACCTAGAAGAGATTTCTACTCTACCTCGTGCACAAATTTATTTTGTGGCGAGCCGGTTTTCAGATGCCGACACGTCTAACAAACTCTTAACGCTAACTTTTTTTAGAGACCCTTGCACGTTAAAAAATTAAACTTGCGAATATTGAGGGGTCGACACTTGACCACCGCATTAATAGTTCATTTTATACGTTGGTGCCACTGACTAGTCATCTCAAAGCGAATGTCGTTGGCAGGCAACGAAGAGGATGGTGAGGACAGTGAACTAGGCGAAGGGGGGACAGAAGAGCGTGAGCGGAGGTTTCCCACATTGGAGCAGCAAGAGAACTCGCTCGGTGACGGAGATGGCACGTCTCCAGGGGGCAGGAAGATAACGGCACAGGAGCTAATAACTCAAAGGTACGCAGTCCTTGAATGAAGGAAGTCGCGTTCTGCAAGTGGCATGTGACGTCGCAAATCGTTCTTTCACCAAATGATTTTATTTTTTGTAGTGTTAAATAGTTTGTTTGTTTGTTTGTTTGTTTTCATTCGCAAAAGGAATTCCTTTAGTTCCACTGGCATTTAAGCTTCATATTTATGTCGGGTTTAATTTCTGCGGAACCGAGTCCCTAAATTGTGATTTATTGATGGTTTGCTAAATATTTTGAAACGTAATCATGCTCGTCGTAGGGTTATAATGTGGCATGACACCTAACTCAAATAAGAATAATTTTTGCGTCAGAGTATCTTTCAACATCTAAATTTTCTCTTGTTTTAACCACAAATCACTGGAATTTTTATGAACTGCCTACAGACAGTTTGAGTATAATCTTTTTTTTTTTAGCGTAAATATTTGAAATTGTTGTTTGCATGGACAATAACTTTAATAAAAGGAATTCTATGTTTTCAGATTTCCAGCCCTTCAGCTCTCGCCTGAAATTGTGTCGCCGAACGTTCTTCCCGGTGTCTCGTCACCCCTCGATTCCCGTATGTCGTCGTACGACAACGTCGAGGGCCGTCACGGCAGCAGCCACGACGCGCTCTGTCCTTCTAATCACAATCATAATAATTCCGCGTCGCATCCGAATCACGCCTCGCAAATTAGTGACAACGACGACGCGCAGACCGTCTTCTCGGAACCGTGGGATAGTTCTCGGTGGGAGAATCTCTTGCATCCGGGCCACGCGGAGACTTGTTTGAGCCCGGGATCCAGTTCTCTTGTGGAAGTTGTGGGAGCGACACCGCTTCTTGAACCCGAGGAAGACGACACGATGTGCGGCGCCAACGCGGACCGCAGTCATTTGAACCATGCGGCAAACGGATGTACCATTAGTAATGGACACATGAGGAGGAGCAAGAGCTTCAAGGAGAGGCTGGATCCTCTGCTGTGTGAGTATCAAATGTCGTATCTCAGTAAAGAGTGACCTGATTTTAGCGGACGTGACGTGCTGTTTGTTCTGCGGCCTTGGTCATCTGAATCGGTGCAAGTTTGATTACGGATTTCCTTGTGATTATATTTCTTACAGGTTTAATGTGTAAAGTTGCCAGACCCGCGTTTCAGTAATTAACGACGTAAAATCATCCATTTATCCAAATGTTTTCAGAGAGTAATCTAAGTCCGAAGTTCTTTTGAGTAGTGGTTATGAACAAAGCGACGTCTTTGTTCTGGCTTGGAGAAGACCTTCGGAATTTCAGCGTGCTCCGGACAGTCTGTGGCGTCAATCTTATTTGTTCAGTGATTATAGCAGTTAGACAGCAGCGTCTCGCCACGAAGGCCTGCGTTCAGTCGCTCGATTGTCGCTGTGAGATTTTCCGTAGTAAACGTGGCCCTGGGAAGGCTTCTCCGTGCTTATTGGTTTTTACATGCCAGCCGTTATTCAGCGAACATGGTTCAAAAGGTTAGGACCAAACTGAAGGAGCGTATAGAGGGACTCGGAGAGAACGACTTTCGAATATGAATCCGTGTCCTCCGAAGTCATCCTGGGTCAGTCGAGGCCATCGAAGGAACCGAGGTCTGATAACGTACGTTCTCAAAGCGAACTGGGCCGAGAAAATAGTCAGTCTGGTCCATCTTGCCCCTTTTCAGGTTTTATGGTCTTTCACACCTCAACTTTGGGGCATCGTCAGCGTAAGGATAATTTTAGAAGAAGTAAAGCTGTTTCCATGCAGCAAGCCCTTCTTAGGCCGATAAAGCCACGTGCGTGGTGACTTCGGAGGACGGTGCAGTACCACCCCAAAGTATGTGCTTGTGTGGGGGCCAGCGAACATCAGCATAACAAAATGGAGGCTATTACTCCCATAAAAATGCAGTGATATCGTTGAGTCAATTTTTTTTTTCCTCAATGTTTGTTCCAATTCGTCAGTAAATGTTATGTTCGCTGAAAATGATGCTCATTTGAATTTTATCTGTGCATTTGTGTGTTCTTTCAGTTAATTTATGCTGATGTAGATACCGCCATATGCGAAACTTTAAAAAAATATTCATAAAAGAATAAGAAAAGATGAAATTGCTCTCGGTTTCGGATGCCTGTAGAATATTAAAAGCGCAAACATTGCATGTCTTGTCGAACTGGTGCCTTGTTTGAGTAGCATCGAATCCTGGGACGCCAGTAATCTCAAGAGCAGTGATCCAAGTCCACAGCTTCCTTCTTTACTTTACCGCGACAGTTAAAATGACCCTTGGGCTTTGTGCCCTCACTGACCTCATCGCCATGCTGAGCCGAGAAGAGTGCCTCAAAACTTAAAACCGGAATTTCTTCGTGGTCGCATATTTTGCTGTAGCAGTAGATTGTAGATTGCGTGTGGTACCGTCGACAGTTGAATTACAGCCCCCGCACGTACGCGACCATTGTCGCCACATTATAAGTTCTCTGGTCCTCTTTGTCCCAATGGTAAGACGTGGCAGACCTCTTGCACATTTCCACTTTATTACGTTGGCACCTCACACCCATGGCGAGTTATTCTGACTGGTATCTCGTGCTGTCACGTGTTATCTCGTTCTTAACGATAAAGAAAGAACTCCACTCTGAATCCTGTCTGTGTTTGGTTAGTTCATAGGCAGTTTCGTTTCATACGTTTCTCAATTTGTCATCCCCAGTTACGAGTAGTTGAGAAGTTGAAATTATTTGAAAATGGGCATAAGATTTTGGAGTCGTGTACGACGTTGTAACCTAACCAGCAGCCTTGATTAGTGTCATGCTCTGAGGAAAAGAACGTTTCAAAGATAATTCGCCTCATAAAATATTCCTCGCTTTTTCAGAATGCGTTGAACTCCACATCAAAGTGTGGATGACTGGGTACAGGCCTGGCTTCAGTTTGTAATAAGATCACGCTTTTGTCTTGTTTTGAAGAATATCTCATAAGCCCCTGTTTCATGGATCTCGTAGTTCGGACTCGCACTCTGAATCAGGGAGCGAATCTGTGTGGCGTGGACGGGCGACATGCCATTGAGGGAGGTCTTTTCTAAACCGATGAATCCGTGTCCTCCGAAGTCATCCTGGGTCAGTCGAGGCCATCGAAGGAACCGAGGTCTGATAACGTACGTTCTCAAAGCGAACTGGGCCGAGAAAATAGTCAGTCTGGTCCATCTTGCCCCTTTTCAGGTTTTATGGTCTTTCACACCTCAACTTTGGGGCATCGTCAGCGTAAGGATAATTTTAGAAGAAGTAAAGCTGTTTCCATGCAGCAAGCCCTTCTTAGGCCGATAAAGCCACGTGCGTGGTGACTTCGGAGGACGGTGCAGTACCACCCCAAAGTATGTGCTTGTGTGGGGGCCAGCGAACATCAGCATAACAAAATGGAGGCTATTACTCCCATAAAAATGCAGTGATATCGTTGAGTCAATTTTTTTTTTCCTCAATGTTTGTTCCAATTCGTCAGTAAATGTTATGTTCGCTGAAAATGATGCTCATTTGAATTTTATCTGTGCATTTGTGTGTTCTTTCAGTTAATTTATGCTGATGTAGATACCGCCATATGCGAAACTTTAAAAAAATATTCATAAAAGAATAAGAAAAGATGAAATTGCTCTCGGTTTCGGATGCCTGTAGAATATTAAAAGCGCAAACATTGCATGTCTTGTCGAACTGGTGCCTTGTTTGAGTAGCATCGAATCCTGGGACGCCAGTAATCTCAAGAGCAGTGATCCAAGTCCACAGCTTCCTTCTTTACTTTACCGCGACAGTTAAAATGACCCTTGGGCTTTGTGCCCTCACTGACCTCATCGCCATGCTGAGCCGAGAAGAGTGCCTCAAAACTTAAAACCGGAATTTCTTCGTGGTCGCATATTTTGCTGTAGCAGTAGATTGTAGATTGCGTGTGGTACCGTCGACAGTTGAATTACAGCCCCCGCACGTACGCGACCATTGTCGCCACATTATAAGTTCTCTGGTCCTCTTTGTCCCAATGGTAAGACGTGGCAGACCTCTTGCACATTTCCACTTTATTACGTTGGCACCTCACACCCATGGCGAGTTATTCTGACTGGTATCTCGTGCTGTCACGTGTTATCTCGTTCTTAACGATAAAGAAAGAACTCCACTCTGAATCCTGTCTGTGTTTGGTTAGTTCATAGGCAGTTTCGTTTCATACGTTTCTCAATTTGTCATCCCCAGTTACGAGTAGTTGAGAAGTTGAAATTATTTGAAAATGGGCATAAGATTTTGGAGTCGTGTACGACGTTGTAACCTAACCAGCAGCCTTGATTAGTGTCATGCTCTGAGGAAAAGAACGTTTCAAAGATAATTCGCCTCATAAAATATTCCTCGCTTTTTCAGAATGCGTTGAACTCCACATCAAAGTGTGGATGACTGGGTACAGGCCTGGCTTCAGTTTGTAATAAGATCACGCTTTTGTCTTGTTTTGAAGAATATCTCATAAGCCCCTGTTTCATGGATCTCGTAGTTCGGACTCGCACTCTGAATCAGGGAGCGAATCTGTGTGGCGTGGACGGGCGACATGCCATTGAGGGAGGTCTTTTCTAAACCGAATAAATTGCCTTGATTCGTTGTAAACATTCTAATTGTTTTATATTTTGAAACAGCCTGTTTATTCAATAGCTTTCATTTCGATTGTACAATCGATAACTTCGCGATTGGGAGAAAATTTAGTATGAGAGGCTGATAGTGAATTGGAAAGGATGTGGAAGGAAGCGGTCGAGGCCAGATTTAAGGTACTATACCGGCATTTGCCTGGAAAACTCCCAGTCATGATAGCCGGTCTCCGGACCCGGGACCTCCCGAGTGTTAACCACTCGACCGCGTCGTTTGGTTGATTGGGGTTAAATAGGTGGAGTCATTAATATATTTACTTCTCTGTACTGACCGGACTGAGTTGAAGGGGCCGTGAGGCTAAATTTTCCCAGCTCTTTCATAGTTTACTGACTAACGGTAACTGAATATCATTTTTATCAGCTGATTCTAACCTCCCCGTCCGCGGTGTAATGTTTGCCAAAGTCACTGGTATACTGGCATTGAACTTTGGACCCCTTCCCCCCCCCCTCTATCAGACGTATACTTATTTTAGCGTGTGCTTTGGCCAGCTTGGAAGTATTAACACCGGTGAAAGCTCCTGCTGGCTTTAAAACCGAAATTATATCCAATACTTTGCTTGTTTTCTCCCATAAAACTGACAAAAACGTCAGTGTTTTGAGGTGCAAAGTGTTTTTTTTTTTAAATGAAACAATCCTAGATTTTGAACTCCGTATCGAGATTGATGGGCGTGGTTACGGAAAGGACTTCAGAATAATGGACTAATTGTTTGTGTATTTCTTTTATGTTTGTTGGAAATGGCTCCCGTCGCGTGTCTTCTGTTTAAGAACAGCCGTTGTTGCGAGCCTATGTTACTACAAGTAGGGTTAGGACACAGCGTGAGTTGAGGTTATGAACTGTGACGACGCGAAATTGCAGGAGATGATAAGTTGGACGGGCAGTGGTAGATTTTACAATCTGCAAAGCTAATTCTTATAATGGAGATAGTTTTCTTGAATGGTTGAAGACTTCGCCCTCCTGGTTCGTGCGACGTTATCTAGCTATTTAAATTTGTTTTGCTACCGTTGAACTCCGACCGGTTGTCTGTTGTTCTTCAGCCAACAAAGCAGCTGCTGTTCGGTTTTCTGGTCCTTGTGCCGTGACCGCATCCATTCAGTACTTCTGCATTCTTGGAATTGGTTTGTAGTCAGTATCGAGGTTATTCTTTGATAAAGATTCGTTTTTATATTTGTGTCGTACAAAATGGTACGTTCAGCTGGCAAGATTTTGCGTTGCATTTTTAGATACGTACGTGATAGTGTGAAGAAGTTGGCCAAGTTCGTGCTTCGCTGCTTTTCCAGTGAGTGTGCTTTGTTCATTGTCTGAGTGACATCTAGTGTGAATTCTTTGCACAAAGAACGTAAAGTATGTTCTTTGTGCAAATTGTGATACAGGTGCAGTATATGCTTATTTTTTAGCGTTATTCCCAAACCATGTAATGGATTTCGATTAAATTCGGCAAAAATATCTAGACAAAGTGAAAGTTTATGGGTGATTGAACGACCGATTCAGTTCTACGCCAAACCTGCCCATGAATTTCCGTCAAGTGATCGAGATGCCCGTGAACACGGGTAGACGCTGTGTTCGTGGTCTCAGAGCATTCCCATTCCCACGTTGTAACCATAATTCCCATTCCACGATACGCGTAAGAACCAATTCCCGAACCAGCAATGTAAAAATTCCCTTCATGGTTCATGTTGGTCATTCCCAGCGATTTTCTATTGGTATGGAACGTCTACGTGGTTCTGACAAGCCATTTCTATTCCTGACCTGCCGCTGACTCAGGCGTTGGCACTACTGATTAGTGCGCTGGTGTCTTTCTGCCGTGGAAAGTGGTTTAAGTGGCCCTGGAATGCTACTGTTTATTGTGCGCGTCGCCATGTTGTTTAGATGATAGTTTTCTGGGGTTTTGTGTGGTGTCGTATTCTGGTTGTATACCATATTTAACCCTCAAGGTGGAGGTGGCATGACCCACCCAAACATTGGTATACAGGTAGGAGACTTCATGGCACGATAATGCTGAATGCTGTGCTTTACTGCAGACATTAGATTTTCGATTCTGTTACGAAACGTCACTCGTCAGCTCACTTGGTGTTGGTCTGTCACGCGTTCAGTTCATTATCATCTCTTCGCTCAAATAATTCATTCATTCACCATCCCTAGTGACCACTTACTACTGCTGAGATTGTGCGTACTGAATGGCGAGTTTCCTACTTTGAAGTGAAGTGAGTCACGTACTGAATTGATTACTTACTTTCTGTTTACCGACTTCAATTAAATGAGTCTCCTTATGTTGAATAAATATCGCTATCTTGATCGATACCAGTCGATGTTTTGTTACATTTTGCTGTGGGTTTGAAGGAAGCTAGTTTTGAAGATGGACAATAAATTAGCTCGTCTTAGGAACTTTGCTTTGAGGGATTTTTTTTTTTTTTTAACAAAAGTAGGTTCCGGAATACTGCTATCTAGAGAGTCCATTAGTAAAAGAAATTTGGATGTAGCATCTTGTATGTTTTGTTCCGTACTCTTGTTTTCATGTCCTACCATCGCTCAAAATATTTATGTTTAAATTCTTTAGCTTCCAGTTTGATGGACCTTTAACGAGACATGCAGAAAACCGTGAAGTCCTAGAGCATCTCTTGACACATCTGCTGTTAAGAGTTCGTAGTGTTGCCCAAGTATCAGGTCATGGGTTTCATTTGCCATTTTTCGCAACGAACTGTGGTGCTTTTATAATGCCGGTACCATAAATTGTTTGTAAATGTTTGAATAAAATCTGTCTCAAATGGATTATAGCCGTTTCTTTTCTGTTCATTGTGTTCTTTAATTTATTGCGTGTGTCACGTTAAGTAACACCATAAGCCCTTTGAATTTATAGTGGGCTTTATTCATATCGAGCGTTTACTTAAACCGATGAGTCAGGCCGTGGCACGTGCATCAAGTAAGCCTGTTGGACCTGAACAGCGCTGTTTTTGTTGGTCGCTGTCTCCTCTGTGTACCCAAGAACATATTTTATATTAATTTTAAACAGAATTCCCTTAGACATGGTTTTGTAAATTTATGCATTGCAAATCTGTGTGTTCAGCTATTTATTTAATTACCTAGTATCATGTTACATGAAGGTATAATAAATCATCAAAACCTTACATAACTATATTTAAATCTTCTCTTTGCACTGTTATATTCTGATTTTAACCAAGGTCATGTTTAATGTGATTTCGGCACAGCATGAAAGACACGAGATCTTCGTAAGTGCACGTACTCTGATACAAATTTTCATGCTGGGCCAATGATTTGTACCTGCCGTTTACTGATTTTAAATATTCCATTATTTTGGTACCTTCTCGAAAGTACCCGTAATATTTTCCCCCATTTTAAACTGTGCAAAAATCCTTACTATCTTGTGGTCTAGTTAATTGATCTAACGGGATGGTCAGTTTATGGTCATATTCCCAGCCCAGGGAAGGAAACTGATTTTTGTTCTGTTTCCATTTGAAGAAAATATTTATATTATTTTATAATAATTAGATGCATGAAATGTTTAATGCCAAAATTATCCATGACCAAATGTATATTTCCATCCTTCTCTCCTCGTGTAGCCAGCAGCGATCGTAATTATGCGACATACTCACTTTTAGTATATCTGTGTACCATATTTCCGTCTCAGGCATGAAATAAATATCGCAATCTGCGTTTCGTACTCATTTTGCAATTAAAGTTGCAAAAATGTGACCGTCGACTTTCCGCGTGAGCCGTGCTGTAGTTTTATATACTGCTAGAACTTTGAAAAGTGTGTAACTTTTTCCTAGAAAAATGGAAAATGACTTATAGCGAATGCGTGAATTTTTTTTTACCATATGAGGACCGTGAATTATAACCTGATCTTTGAAATTTGTTCTTTGAAGGTATAAACGCTCTACTTGTGACTCGGTGGTGTTGAAACCGAGATGCTTAATCCTTTAGAGCCCTAAAATGTGCCACACTAATAACAAGTGCATTGTGTTTTCGCTTGCAGCTCCTCCCAGACTTCAGGCGCTGAGGAACCGTGACCTGGGAGGCACAGGAGCATCCATCAGGGCTTATGCCTTGCACCTTGCCGCAGACAAGAGCACTACATTCGCGCAGAATATCGATAACTTCATCGCATGTACGCGGGACTCGCGCGAGACCAACCCCCAAGTGGTGATGCGTAACATGAGGCAGTTTATGTCTGGTATGAAGAACTACCTCGTGAAACACGGCGAGAGGGAGTTCGAGAAAGAAGTCGAAAAGGAGAGGATAAAGGTCGGTGTATCTTCAGATACAGAACTGTCTGGAGATTTTGATGGTCTAGAAAGGATTGCGTTCCGCTTTTAATAACCTTGCTGGTGCTTACGTTCTGCGCTGTCACGACACGGTGTCAGGGTCGCGGTGCGTCAGTATGTGAACAACACATTCATTGGTATGGTCTAAAGAATTGCTTGTTTATTAATTTTCTTTTGTTTACCGTGGTTGATTGAGCGAAAGATAGGTTCCTCATCGTAACAAGTCTATGTAATACTAGCGTTGTAGTAAAAGTGGATGTCATTCAATACATGTACTTTGGTTTATGGAGAAAGGGGTGAAAGGTCATACATAGTGAGACGCTAATCTGGATCAGAGGGAAATAGGTTATTTGGATGCCAGGTTGAAGGAAATGACTCATGATTATATTCAGTCACAGGCTTTCATATTAGCGATGTATAATTTTAAGGTTCTTCTACGAGAGAGACAGACAGGTACTTCCAGTCCCATAAAAGGAATGCTGTACAAAGATTTCCGTCTTCTGGGTTGTTGCACTGTGTAGACTGGTCGATGTTAAACAACGTTTCAGAGGTCATGCTGCCTCCGTCATCAGGGCGATATTCATCGACCAGACTACTCAGCGCAACAACCCAGAAGACAGGAATCTTCATACTCTGATGACGGAGGCAGTATGACCTCCGAAACGTTGGTTAACATCGACCAGACTACACGGCGCAACAACCCAGAAGACAGGAATCTTCATACTCTGATGACGGAGGCAGTATGACCTCCGAAACGTTGGTTAACATCGACCAGACTACACGGCGCAACAACCCAGAAGACAGGAATCTTCATACTCTGATGACGGAGGCAGTATGACCTCCGAAACGTTGGTTAACATCGACCAGACTACACGGCGCAACAACCCAGAAGACGGAAATCTTCGTACTCACCGCTGTGAAAACCTCAAATCTTACAATGCTGTACAAGCTGGCGGAAATAATATAATTCAGCTGAGAACGTGTTTTTGTCATATTAGTGTTTGTATTGTTTGTAAAGCTGTCACACTTAAAACTGAATTTTTTTTTTTTAGTACTCAGGCCCATGGCGGAACTTGGCCCTGTTGTGCATTTTATCACTTTATTAACTTGAACTGATGATGCAATTTACTGTTTCCGAACAGCTGAAGTCCACAGAATTCCTGAATCTGGATGCGATCCTAGAAAGCGTGATGCACAAGCTAGTTGTGCGGCCGCTGAAGGAGCACTTGTACCAACTGTTTGTGGAGGAGTACACGCGTACTGGTGCGATCCAGTTGCTGGCAGACAACATTCAGTACGCACGCACCAAACCGATGCACGAGCTGGGCGTCCGTGCCAGGATCGTGCCCCCTTCGGAGGAGGCTCTCGAGACCATCTGCCATCTTCTTACGACACTCCAGGAGGTCGACTCCCCACTTGACAAGCTGGAGAATCTACTTGCGTGCATTGGAACAATTTTCAACTCGGTATGGATGCTTCATCGGAATAGCTAGTACTGTAACGTGGTCCATGAGACCTATGTGTTAAGATTGTATTCCAAGATGTACCTGAGAGGAGACTGACTGGAGCCCAGAATCTGATTTAAGAGAGTCTATAGGGAACTGCTGCTTATGAGCCACTTTCAGTGATGCCAATCTCATCAAAAAAAAACTCTCTAAATTTAATACGTTTATAAGCATATTTTGTTTTTGCATTTAACATAACGGCATGGCGATATTTAAAATTTTACATTTACTTTAATGACGTGGTGATATTTAAAACATCGAATGCTACGATAATACATTCCTTCTTCCGTATCCTTACCGTCTCACAATTCATTATCATCTTCCCATGGTGATCTTTGAAACGTCGCCATCAAAGGAAAGGCTTGGTCGCAGCCTCTGTCACTGCGCATTGCAATTAAAAGGAATATTTTCCTTTGACAGGCCGCAGCCTTCTAATTTGTTGTATCACACAGCATCTTTACGTCTCTGAACCTGGCTAAGTCTGTGCCTCTTCTTTCCGTCTCTTTGTGTCGACGGTGACACCTGTTTATTGAATTCTTTGAACAGGTGAAAGCTTCGAACCAAAGGTGTGTGGCCCTGGGGGCGGATGACTTTCTGCCCCTTTTTGTGTGGGTGCTGGTGCAGAGTGGGATGTTGGCCGCGGAAATAGAGGCCGACTACATGTGGGGACTTCTGCACCCGTCCCTTCTCTCTGGTGAGGGAGGATATTACCTTACTACGCTGTCCAGCGCAGTTCATGTTCTAAAGAACTTCAGATCGTGTTCTGAAGAACAGAGCAAGATGCTGGGTCCAGGAGAAAGTCTTGAAGTGAGTAATTAAATTTCTGTCTTGTGCTTGAAATCGTAACTTAAGACATTACCAATGCCGTGAGATTCTGTAGAGTTTGGTGATCGTACCTTCTGACGGAGAACAGCTGTTCATTAATTTTTGTGTGTTGGGTCTTAAGCGGTTGTCCGAACTAAACGACCGGCACAAAGGGGCTGGTTGGACCAGTGATTTCAGAATTGAAGTGCGTAAAGTGCAGTGAAGTTTGTTAGGTTTTTAGCCGAATTATGTCTTTGGTTTTAAGATTTGTAAATAAAAACTACTTTTAAGTTATTATTTATAAATGGACACTCATTGACTGCTGGTCTGTCCCAAGAAACTTAGTCACTAACCCAGTTAGTGAGTCTTCTGACTTATCTTCAAGAGGCATCTGTTTTGAGTCTGAACCAGGATTCTTGCTATCCCTGAAGGTGAATTATTTCTTTTCCATTCTTCCCAGTTCACATTTGTTTTTCAACCCCCCACCCCATCTGACACTAGAAAAGTTTCTTGTCGTAAATAAGTTATGAACCAACTAGCTAACCCATAGAAGTCCACATTTTTCAACCTATAATTGCCTGTGGCTTTTTGCCTTTATTTAGGAAGTTCTATAAATTTCAGGTGATGTCCCTACATTACATTACACCTGTCGCTATTAAGGGCGTTCAGGTTAGAAAATAAATTATACCTGTGTTAAGATCTTCCTACATCAAAATTCAGAATGATTATTCAAGTGTTTTAAAATAGTACTTCTAGATTATTTTTACAGCAGTTGATAGAAAAAGTCTAAATTTGTGAATTTCCAGATTCCCTTGCATTCATTTCGAAGGAAATTTAAAGAATGTCGTAACCACATTGAGCAACTTGCCAACTATTTTCTAATATTTTATCGTTGGGGATGAACATGTAGAATGCAGATGATTTTTAATTGATGTTTTCCCCTTTCTGTTAATTCCTGCATCATCATCATCATCATCTCAACAGATATCTGAGACAGCATTTTTTCCACTTTTAGAAATAGTAGTTTGCTTAACCCTTTCCTATCTTTTATTGAATATGACATAAGTGAGTTTTCCACTCATTTAAATTGATGATTTATTCATTTAGCGATGTTAAATCTTTTCATGTTATTTCTGGAATATTCTGCTGGCATGCATTGAGCTACATTACTTTTATTTAAACTTACGGAGTGATATCAGATGACAGGCACTTGTTGAGTTGTAACGAGAAAATGTCTGTACGATGGTCGTTTCAGAGGTATGTGATCAGTACGCAACGTGTCGCAACAGACGTGGTCAAACCTCTTTGCTAGTCAGCGTAGTTATAACCGAGGTCAGCACGTTTCCTTCGTCTTTGAGGCGGCAGTCAGCTCCAGAACCGCGATTGTCTGCTCGGACAGCGTGAGGACGGATGCTGCGATAACTGTGTTTGTGGTGACGCCTACAGATTCAGAAATTGTCTCTGAAGCGGTTTCTTTGCAATCGCATGGGAATGGGTCCAGGTTGTGTTTAATCTGTGCTAGCAGTAAGATGCTGTGCACGTCGTAGTGATGATGATGTCCTAGATGAAAATGATGTCATGTAGGTTCCAGCTTTTCACATAACAGTACTGTGTAATAACGTGCGATTTGACAGCAGCTTACGTCTCTGACAGGTAAGTAGCCTGGCGTGCAGCACTGTCAAAGCTCCGTGGCTGTGTTATGTAATTCTCTTCCAGAGTGAGATGGAAGGCTTCCACTGAATACTACTACTATGGCGTAACAGCCCAAAATCAAACCCTAGCCTCCTCTAGAGGCTTCTCAACATATATAATTTTTTACATATGTAGGGGTGTTGGCCCTACGATCCAACCCCCAACCTGGAGGACCAGGGTATTTCTCTTAGTCTGGTCCCTACCCTTGACCTGTCCGGCTTGGGAGACTTTGGAGGCCCTACCGGTAGCAAAGCTACCGCCGGCATAGCTCTCGGGAATAGTCTGATTTAATTCTGGGTCAGTATGAATACGTCCATTTGGATCTCTTGTAACAGTTGGAGGTAACATCCACTGTACCTTCGTACCAGGTACTGATGGCATTCGCCCACAGTCAGATTTATGTGACTGGACCTTCCGTTGACAAGTTATTCTACTACCAGCAACATGTGACGTACCATCTCTGGCCTTTGATCTGTGTGCTTGGAACTTTGAGTGTGTGAGCACATGTGAGTCTTACACATCGGTGCTGCCATGCAAGAAACATTTGAATTTCTCCTCTTAGGAGACTGTATGTGACGTCATTTCATTCTGATAGTCAAAGTCATTGACAAAACTGATCTAACTTTCTGCTAAGACAAAAGCGACGTTCATGTTTACTGCCTGTGAAGAATGTGATTCGGAGTCTGAAAGTCGCTGAGTGTGAGAGATGGCAGTTGGGATCAAACCATGTGCCATACGCTTACCACCAGATCATTCTGGCAACTGAGGAGTGGTTGTTGTTATAATGCTGTCATACATGTGGTTACCGCCTGTCGTGTATTGGCAACCATGTGTTTCGCTTGCCTAGGCTTGTGACTTGTATCCTCCACTATTCTGGATGATTGACTTGTTCATTTTCTAAGTGATCCTGTCATCACAGTCCTTCACTGTTTATTACCGTCTATCAAATGTGCAGAATGCTGTAATGACTCTTTTGCGTTGAGAAATAAAATGAAGATAAACATTGAGTTCCAGATGGAACTCTCAAAGCTTACTTTCATTTTGCATGGATTTCCTGTTCTGTGTTTGTGTTGATTGTATTTTTAAGTGATGTAAGTGCAGTTTAATTCACGAGTTAATATTCCACACTCGTGTGTAGATGGTCTTAGGACTGAATCATACTTGAGTCTGAGTTTTCTTCATTGGAGTTGTAAATATCTCAAATATTGTGGCTGTTGATATGAATTTCTTCTTTGGAAGAACATTTACATAAAGATTTTGTTGATATTACATTTATTCATGAAACCTTCAAGACTTAAACCATTGCTGAGTCTCTAATTATGATTTATTTAACTATTAAAGGCCTGCCACATCTTTTAAGAGCTGACAGTGGTGTCCGTACGTGGCCCACTATGGGCTTTAAAACACGGTGTGCATCGCATCATGTAACATGGCTTTGTGATTATGGTACTGGGTTCTAATCCACAACAGCAATGAAAAGAAAATTGCCATTGAACTCTAGAAAGATGACGGATTAGAACGTGTGTTTTTTACTGTTTAAAGGGAGCGAATCATAAAAGCGTACAGATGATGGTTAACGGAATGTAGAGGTAGGATTAGGCAGGTACAGGGATGTACAGGACCCAGTGTTGTGTTGGATCGTAACGCAGCACCTGATACTAAGGATGATTCTTTTCCCACTGAATACTCCAAAGCGATCTTCACAGAGTTTGTGGTCACATTGTTAGTGGAGGAATTAAGTATGTATTGCCATCAGTCTTACATCGTACAAGCGACTAGCAGCCTCTCACCACTGGTGAAGAGACAAAAACTTTCAATGCACTAAATCTCTATTGAGAACCGGGAACATAAGAGCTAGTGGTATCTGACAAATGGTACAAGACAGCGTTCTTGACTAAAAGAATTACTCAGATCGAACTTTTTCATATTTTCACGTAATTCTGATAATGCAACCCCCACCCCCACATAAACGCAGAGAAAAGTGAAAGTAGGATTGTCCGTGGAAGCTGGGAACTGTCTGTGCCTAAATCTCAATATGTCGAGGTGTACTATCCCATGGAGCTCGTAGCTGTCGGTGAGGTTATTGTACTTTTCAAGCTGTTCTTAGGAAGTGTATCCTGAAGAAACACAAGATATTTGACATAAAAATTACGCTCTTTGCTAATAGGGCTTACGTAGCAAAGCAGAATATAGGTGCCACTGCTGATCTGATATCTACATATTTTACCAGGATACAGCTTGGAAGAAGGGTGTTGGTCGTAAGCTGTGCACGGATAATTCGGACACTTCACATCTTGTGACCTAATCAATTACCTAGAACAGAAGGAATACCCCAAAATTTTTGGTCCTGGGCACTGAAAAGGAATAAATAAGATATTGCGAGTAGAGATCAGAACAACGTGCTGGAAAGATGACAGAGGGCGGTACATCACATTCATCTGCAGCTGTAGGGAGTTTTTTGGCATGAATTGTGAAATTCACTGGAGCTTGAAGTAATTGAGTAAAAACTGTGACACTCGCAAGCGATGTTGAACAGTTGACAGGATGGGTGAAACGTGTAAGCTCCGATACAAATTGTAGGACTTCAAGTGAACAAACAAAACTTTTATTTAGTTTTCATCAACTGTTTTATAATATACAGAAGCTGTATGAAGTAAAATGGCCCACTTGCAATTCAGGGAACAACTTGTTTACGATCTTGTCCGTGTAGTGGAAGACGGCTGTAAATGGAACGGGATAACAGCGAGGAAGACCAAGGCCAATATATTTCCAGTCATCATATCTGGGGATAAAGCACTACGCAATGAGTGTATACTGTTTTGAGGTCTGTGGTGTTTGACTGTGCATTTGTGTGTGTTGGAAACTGTACCACAAAAATTGGTAGAATGTATTATAGAGGAGAAAAAGTCGATGAGCCTGTATTTGCGTATGTATAGCCAGAACATACAGTCCTTTGTCAGAGGGACAAGATAAGTTTACTCGATGCATTCACATTTCCCAACAAAAACATTGATAATATCACAATATTTTAAAAGTATGAATCTTTTTATCACAGAAAATTTAGGTATTTGTAATGTTCCTTTAAACTTGAGGAACAGTTTGTAGTGGCAAAGTAAGCTCTTCTGAATAATGTGTATTTTATTTAGTGGGTTTTTAAGGAAGTTCCATTGTTTTATTGGAACACGTGCACTCATTGCATATTTGTGGGATTTAAATTGGGCCAAGAGAGGGTATGGGGATTTGAATGCACGGTACTTAAAAGGTTAATGATGCTGTCAGTAACTCTGACTGTGTGGTATCAGATGATCGGATGATTAATGAATTGGAAAGGACATTGACAGAGGCGTCGTGCTATGATTTAAGATACTATCCCAGCATTTATATGTAGGGACTATAATTGTTGACTAACAAACAGTATTTTAATGAAATCATATTCTTAGGTTTAACAGTAAATTAGTTATCACTGTCTAACTGAAAGCCAAATGAAGATTTTTGCATCACCACCATGTTGTTTGCTTTATTAAATTGTATGGAAGAAAAAGTTAACAAAACTGTCATACTTTTCAAAGATAAATTGTAGCATAGCGTCACACCCATCTCACAAGTTTGTTCAATCCAGGATTAGTAAATTAAGTAATACGCATCTGAGTAAGGATTGCACGTTGCATTAGTGTTTTGTATTTGTCAGTTCTGTCCTTGGTAACACCTCCTGAAGAACCTTTGTCATGTTTAGAACCCATGATGATCACATATAACAAAGATATTTGAAGATTAATATCATGCACACTTAGGATGACATGGACGCAGACAAAGTGCATGAACGACTGGGAAGAGCTGGGTGGCAGCGGGAAGTGAGTCGTCAGCCTTGCGTTTCCAGTGTGCAGTGTGCTGCTGTATTCTTCCACATTTGTAACTTTTGAAGTGGGTGTTCAGCCTTGTAGCTAAAATAATATTCATATATTAAGAAACATGTATAAATTTATATTTCGGCACATGTTCCTGAAAGTTCATTTCCACCTCAATTGATCGTGCCACTGATACCTTGCATTCATTAGTCTCCATGTGCAGTAGGCACAATTGGCCAGCACATGAGTTGATCCTCTGTCGTGACCTGTTTCCGGGCTCTTGGCAGTAAGGAAGTATTGTTTCGGTTAAGAGAATTAATTTTGTGTTTTGTGTTTGAATCTTTGTGTCAGTAGCAGCTAATGTGTGCTTGTAACTTTTAATTGTGCAGTGGAGAGTGGCGTCACTAACAGAATTCCGGTCGGTTCTGAAGATCGTTGTGCCCGATGAGATGCATGGCTCTATCATCACGAAGACTCTTCCGGTACGACCAAATATGACAACGCGTGATGTGTGCAAGATCATTGCTCATAAGGTCCGCATTACTAACCCTCAAGACTATGGTCTCTTCAAGCTAGTTGATGGGGAAGGTTGGTATGAATTCTTTTTAATTACAGATTTTGGTAAATGTTTTGGAAGGTGGGTTTCACTTTCTGAGACAGTCCT